GATGATGATGATGAAGATGATGATGATGAAGATGGTGATGATGATTATTAAGATGAAGATGATGATGGTGAAGATGAAGATGTTCCTCTGACATCAGCTGCACTTTCACCTTCTGAAGATTCACACTTTTACACCTAACTCTTGATTCCCTTATTAAATAATTGGTAACACTTTACAATAAGGTTCATTAGTTAACATTAGTTAGCTACTTTAGTTAACATGAACTAAGAATGAACAATACTACAGCATTTATTAATCTTAGCTAATGTTAATTTCAACATTTACTAATGCATGATTAAAATCAAAAGATGTGCTTGTTAACATTAGTTAATGCACTGAATTAACATGAACTAGCAATGAACAACTGTATTTTCATTAACTAACATTAACAAAGATGAATAAATACTGTAATAAATGTGTTGTTCATTGTTAGTTAATACATTAACTAATGGAACCTTGTTGTAACGTGTTGCCAATAATTGTATGCACTAAAATGATGAACGTGTAAAGTGTTTTCCCCAAACATGCAGAACACTGTTAATGTACCTGATATACTGTACATATCTATAGATCTATTAAGACTCTGAAACTTCACTGTAATCATCAAATGTATTCACAAAATATTTTTACAGAGTTACAGAACAAAATTACGAGCTGGGGAATCTTATGTGTATGTATGAGTATATATTACTAACTGAGTATATATTATTAACTAACTTCATATCTGATGTAGTCAGTTCATCATTCATCTGTTCACTTTCTACACAAGTATGAGTTGTACTTGTAATATTTGCAAATGATGGCCGTGTAAAATCTATTTTTTTATACTTACAACTGCAGAACATATTGTTAATGCTATTAATGGTTCCCTGTTTGTTAAAAGCAATATATATATATTAATGTTATTATTGGTGATTATGAAATGTTTGATTTTCCTCATGAGGATGAGAGTCATAAATCTGAAATGATTGATTGATATTGATGTGTTTCAGACCTCGCCTCATGTCTGACGTGTGTGTGTTATCTGCTGTTTATGGAGGAATGATGGGAGTCTCACCTGTGTGCAGGTATATAAGAGCAGCAGCCACAGATTCACACTCATCTTCATCATGAGGAGCTTCATTCTCATCTTCATCAGCGGATTGAGCTGCAGCATCAGCGCGCAGCCGCGGCCCTGCGGTGATTCACTCACTCACACACACACACACACACACACACTCACTCA